AGATAGCCTTAGTATTTTTTCATAAATATAAAATTATTAATATCTATTGTTGTTATGGGGGCCATACATTTAGCTCTTCACAGACATCGTCCATAAATTTGAAACACTTTAAATAAGTTAACTTGAAGATGTTGGGAAAGTAGGATGCAAAAGATGTAATTGCATGGGCCCCCCCCATCCGAGGGAAGCCCATTCCAGAAAAATTAAAGAAAATTTCAAGCCTTATTATGATCCCCAGAATAGAACTTTCCATAAGATCTAAGTTGACTTAGACCACCCCCGCATCCAATCCTCACTGTATATCGGGAGCAGGCATGTTGTAGTGTTTAGTGTATAAGCTGAGGATCAATAGGCCCAAGGTTTAAATCACAATGTATCACTGAACACGCTTTGCGCTTTCAGCTGTGTTGACATTATAATTATAGCAATCAACCTCACTTTTTTTGTTAAGAATAGTCACATAACTAATGCTGCTGACTAGAATGGACTATTTCTGGTCAACAGTTCTAAATTAAGTGTAGTTATATCTGAACTCTAGGAGTTTCTGACTCACACACAAGGTTTCTCTTATCATGTTTTAAACATAAAACTCATTCAATTTTCTGGAACATCCTACAATATTATTTTTAGTAATTATGAGTTTAAACGTTTTGCATAAAATCACGACATTTCCAAAACTTTCATGTCTACACTTTAATTTATTTAATATTGTTTAAAATTAAGGTAATACGGAATCGTTTTACTCTACTGACTAATATCCATTTTACCTCCTTAATTTGGCTCTTACTATGTATAGTTCATACTAGTTATATATCACATCCATACATGTTGGTTAGGATGCTCGACTCGCAATCTGTGAGTCGCGGGATCAAAGGCTGACCCCAAATATGGTCATTCTTTCAGCCATGGGGGCGTGTTGGTTAATCCCACTATTTGTTGGTAAAAAGTAGCCGCAATTCAGAATTAATGAGACGGCAGATAGCCTTAGTAGCCTTTGTTGTGAAAAAAAATCATTTATGTTACAATATTACGTAATTAGTTAAGCTACTTAAATTTTTCAAATTTCTTTAAGTGTAACGATTACGACTATTGTAACTTCCTTTTCTAAGCCTTATCTTTATTATAGTTGTTATTGACTTTCTCAAATGTATTTGAGTTTACTTTTGGGCTGTTACACAAGATTTAACTTTATTATTTCTTCTTGCCAGCTTTATGTGTTTTGTTAAGTGACAGGGATTAGTTAAAGTCGGATTAGTCGTGTTAGATATACCTCACAGTACGTTTAATATATATTTTTTTGTTGTTTTTATTACTTTTAACAATGTTACATCTCAATTAAAGTACCAATATTCTAGCTACGTACTGTACGTCTTGTATATTGATTTAGTTTTCTTTTTGTATCGTCATAAGCATCGGCTTTTTGGTGTAGTGTTGCTAATTTCCTGATACACCTAAATATTAACATATGTCGTAATAATTTATCATATATGCCCAACTCTTCTAAAGTTGCATTGTCGGAGTCGTTTGATGGGTTTTCATTGGTCACAACATGTTTTTAGAGAGGGCTGTGAAAAAATTAATTTATACAATGTTACACTGATGTTACGTTTTTCAACTAAAATTAAACATACGACAGTAATTAAAGCAAACAATTGGTGTTTATGAGCGCTCGCAGGAAATGGCAAGAGTGGGCATTTGCTCCCATTTAACATCGTAGTTAAACTAAATATTTGTTTGTAATTTTTATTAAAACTGCAAATTTTTGTTTTTGTTTAAGCACACATAACACACATCCTTTTGGTCTCTTAACCCACACTATAAAAACTGATCCCCAACATGCATGTTTTACCCCCCTAAAACATTTCTGTGGGCGCCCATGTTGATGTTTGTGTGTTTCGCAAGTGAGCCAGGAATATTCTATTATTTTTATGTTTAAAATATCTAATTTTATTATTATTAAGTCTTTATTTTTGTACTTTTATTATATAGGTTTTTTTTGTATTATTAGCTTAGTATAGATTTAGGCCTAGCCTAAATCTCCTAAGCTCGTCGAACTTTGTGGGATATGATTGGGTTTAAAACCTAAAATATCGCTAAAACTGATGAATTGTTTGTTTGTTTTTAGGTATGCATAAAGCTACCCAATGGGCTATCTGTGCTCTGCGTACCACGGGTATCGAAACCCTGTTTCTAGCGTTGTAAGTCCGCAGAAATACCGCTGTGCCACTGGGGGGCAAAACTGATGAATTAATGCGTTCTAATCTTTATAAGTAACAATGTAAGAAAAGTATAATTAATTAGGTGTATTCACTATCAAGTTCATTTTTCGTTTTGATCTATGTAGGTAAATTGCTCTGAGTGGAAGTTACTAAGACGGTTTCTATTTCAATTCCTGATCAATCAACAGATCCTTTGATCTACGTATGAAAGCTCTTGATCAACTAAGTCAAAGAACGTAACAACCTCCCCGACTCCCGAGGATTAGCTGGTTTCCCACATACTAGGAAAAAAATAGGGAACTATTCCAGTAAATTAAACCAGAGCTAGAACCAGGAAAATGCCAAAAACAGAAGACTTTGAAAGGAAAAAAAAACCCTTTGAAATAGGATCACACACAAAAGGTGCAATTAACTTCAAAAAAGACCCAAAACTCAGGCGATTTCGAATAGTTGATTATTGTTCTTTAGGAGACTAAATGGTGATGACTAGTGATTGCAATGTAATATGTAGGTATAGATGTCAACGTCACGTAAGCCGGAAATTCCAGACGAGTTGACCTTGATGACTAGCCAATCATAACTGGAGATGTTGGTGTCAGGTTTAGTGTTACAAAATAAATGTGTACATCACATGATAGACGTAACTTTGTTTGTTTTGAATCTCACACAAAGCTACACGAGGACTATCTGCGCTAGCCGTCCCTAATTTAGTAGTGGTGGGCTTGAAGGAAGACTAGTCAACACTGCCAACTCTTGGACTACTCTTTTATCAACGAATAGTGGGATTGACCATTACATTAAAACGCCCCACGATTGAAATGGTGAGCATGTTTGGTGGGACAAGGATTCGAACCCGCGACCATCACCCAGATTTCGAGTCGAGCACCTGAACTACCAGACCCAAAAGACGTAAAAGTGATGATAGTGTTACGTCCCCGTTCGTTATTCAATTTTCTGTAAATTCGTTCCGACGAAACTTTAGCGACACAAGTCCTTTCT